TTGTCTGAGTGCTTCTATGATTCTATTTCTATTCTATGACTCTATGACTCTATGACTCTATGACTCTGTGCTCTATGCCATGTGACACCAATTCAAAGGGCAGCATGTAGAAATTCTCCCATAAGTCACTGAGCTCTGCGTTGCAGGTCTATTGGATTCGGATTTGGTTAGGGCCAGAATGTTCGCGCAAAGTTCTTGCAGACTTGGTCAAACGAGGCATTTAGTCTAGTTACTGCTTTAGTCTAGTAAGTCTAGTGAGTCTAGTAGTCTCGTCTAGTAACTAGTAACTAGTAAGGGTGGCTGATTCAACGCTGTTTTGCCCTTGATGCACAGCTCCAGGGAAGCTAGGTCAGCTAGGTCGCGAACTAGCCAGCAGTGCTGCTTGCGGTAATGTATCCGAACACTAACTCCCTACCTTGCAGCTGTTCCGAGAATGCAAACACAAAAGCAGGAAGCAGGGACAGCCAGCTAACCGCTAAAACAACGTCAGGGTTTCACTGTACTGTACACACAAAGTTGCAGCAACCTTTTATGCCGACGTGCAGATGGGGAACCAAACATCTATGGCAAGCTGCAGCTAGACTAGGCAGCTAGATTATCCAGATAGCTCATAACAACTATTTTCGACAATTACTGCAAGGGCCTCAAGGGCCAAGGGCCTTGACAAGGGTTTTGGGCCATGATTGCTATTGCTGCTATTATCTGGCACAGGGGCCTCAGAACATGTTGATGTGCCAATCTCCGCTAATAATATGAGCGCACGACTTCAGCCTTGGGCCCTGGCCCGCTTGGGGCACATTGAACAATCCAAACCTCCTTGCCTGTGCTACGCTGCTACACACCGTTGGCACATCCGGCACATGTTGCGTGCAGATTCAATGCTAATTACTGCTAATTGCTAGTGACTGCTAATGTAAATGCATACGGCATACATGGTTGAGCTAAGCGGCTAAGCAGGTTTGCAATCAGATGGACACCCACCTGAAGATGTACGGTGTCTTTGGTGCGGACGCGATGATGCAATCCACTTCGAAGGAGTTGCAAGCCGAGGTCGAATCCGTCAGGCTGCTGCAAACAGAGCAAGTTCTGTTCACGTGCTTGACTTCCAGCAAGCTGAAGTCGAGTGCACCCGATCTCATCCAGGAGACAATTGCCGAAGCGAAGAAGCGCCGACACCAGATTTTCCCTGCGCTTCTTGCCAGTTGCGAAGATTTCCTCAAAGATGCGAAGTCTAGCTGAAGGCCCTGCAGAGCCTCCGTGTGTGAGTTTTCCGGGATCCCATGCAGAGCAGAGTGATCCGCGTGCCTGATTTGTCAGGCCTAAGTCCCCGAAAGTCTCAGCATTTGCATCAAGAAACTCTTGATCCGGTCGCCGCATGCTGGTGTCATATTGGTTCATTCTGAGTTAGACGCACTAACAGATTGAGATCCCCACTCAGGGCAGTGCTGTGTTGTCGCGATGCTGAGCTTTCACTTTTGCAAAAAGCTTTCGGCCGAAGGCCCGTTGTGCATTTCCTTGCCTTGCTGCGCACCTTAAACCCGAGTCCCAGTGACTTCGTGTCTTGTGTTTGGACGGAAACCGTGAAGGTCCAGGCTGCTATAGGGCTGCTAGGCTAGACCTAGGGCCTAGGGTCAAATGAAGCTGTGTGCTGGGTCTCGGTCTCGGTGCTTAGACGCAGAGCAAGTCGAGAAGCGTGAAAGTTGGACGTCTGAAACGAAGTTGCGCGGTCGTGCTTGCTACTTGCTGTGGTGAGGGCTCAGGTCAAAGATTTCTATCGCATTTAGACGTTTTGGCATTTTGCAATGTCATATATGTTGGCTTTCGTTTGTCCAGATTCTCAATGTCTCGGCTGCCCATGTGCTGCAGCTTATAGCGCTGTAGCGGCTACTGTCGCAGTTCAGTACATCAGGCAATGCATGTGTGTTTGTGTCTGTGTCTCTGTTTGTGTCTGTTTGTGTCTCAGTGTTCGTGTGGGTCTGTGTGCTCTTGTCTGCAAATGATACTATAATAAATAATTTAGCAGTGATAATATTGTATTTACTAATATTTCTAATAGTGAATAATGATAGTAACAATAATGAGAATACGAATGAGCAATGCTGATAATGATAATAGAATATTACGATTATATTAATATTTGCTAATAATATTCCCATTTTCATCGCATTTTATTTGCACTTTTTTGCCACTGTCAATGCATTCTTTTTGTGATAATGGCTATATCCCATTTTTTTTACATTTGTTTCCCTTTTTTGGTGCATGCCCAATTGCATTTGTTTCAGATATATTTTCTCATTCAAAACCCATCGCCAAAATTGGTTTGGATTATTGTGGCATTCCCAATCCCATTCATATCCCATTCAAATCCCATTCAAATCCCAATATATCTTTTTAGCTAAAAGATAGAAAGAGGCAGCAGACTGCCCACACAAGGTTAGGGTAATCATATTCCAACTTTCTGGCTTTTACCATAGGGGTCCCTTTTAAGGGCTCTATAGGGGTGCTATAAGGGTTTAGGGTTTAGGGTCTACTTGGACTTAGTAAGTAGGGTTATACGTACCTTAATTGGGGTTATAAGTAATTATAAGTACAGTTACCTTAATTCTAACCCTAGTTACGAAGTCCCATGATCCTTTAAGTAGGGCTTAGGGGTTGAGGGTTTACAGTTTTTTCGGGTTAAGGGGTTTAGGGATCAGGGTCTTCGGGCTTGGGCTTTAGTTAAGGGGCTTGGTGGGTTTTAGGGTTTAGATCTTTGTATTTTGTTGTATCGGGTTCCCCTCATCCAAAGGCGGATTATCCAAAAGGGGACAAAATTCGAAAGAAATGGATTTCGCGTGTGATTGTATGTCATATGTGCCTCTTTTTTTTTTTTTCTCTCTCTCTCTCTCTCTCTCTCTCTCTCTCTCTCTCTCTCTCTCCGTGTATGTGTTTGTCAGACATAGCATGTGATCAGTATAAGCTGCATAGAATCGGACATATTGACACCTACTTGCTTTTGCAATGTGGCTATCAGAACGCCTTGCACGAGAGTCCGCTTTGCGCAAAGGGGATGTGGAAGCTATTTGTGGAAAGATATGCCCTAGGTGTGGCCTACTTCTGCCTACTAAAAACTGCTCCCTGAGTCCCCACCAGATCTTGCAGGGAACCCTAAACCCTTAGCCCCAGAAATCATCTTGCCTACTACGGTTGATGATAGAAATCCTGCATTACCCATAATAAGGAGTATGCCATTATTCCCATAGTTTAGGGTCCTTAAGGTAATGCAGGATTTATATCATCAACTGTAGGTCCCCTGATTGCCCAAGCATGCTGGTTGGCATCGGAGGTCCAGTGAGGTGTATCGAGCACACTGGAGACTGAGTGCTTTGCTTTTGGCTTGGGGCCAGGGGGGGTGTGGGGTTCAGTGAGCTTCGGCGCAAGAATTCTGTGCTATGTACTTTGCACAAGATACCGCAAGACGTTTGTTCGGACTTTACTGGAGATGCCAGTCTCCAACACGTAACAGAAGTCATTGCCAAAGCATTGTACAGTATACCTGGAACCGCTGTTCCAACCATAAGCAAAAAACAGCACAGGTCCCCAGAAAACCCTACCGTCAGCTATAACTTCTTAGGGCTTTTGGGTTTTTTCTAAACCCTAAGCCTAAGCCTTTAAACCCTAAACCCCCAAACCCCCTAACCCCCGAACCCCCTAAAGCCCTAAACAGGCGGTGGAGAACGCGGCTCTCAAGATCCAGAGCACCTTCCGCGGTTGCGGGGATGCCCAGCAAACGGGCAGGTGGCTGTGAAAACCTTGGAACCTGCGCTTTCGGGTGTTGGGGTTTAGGGGTTTAGGGGTTTTGGGGTTTAGGGGTTTAGGGTTTAGGGTTTCAGGGTTTAGGGTTTAGGGTTCAGGGTTTAGGGTGCTCCCGCCCCTCCTGCTGTTTGTGTACTACATCATGCTGCACTATGCTATAGTCTACTCTAGTCGGTTCGACTGCCACCCTATGCCCAAGTGTACTAGGGTCCTGTAGGATTTCGTCTGGAACTGGAACACCCGCATAGCGTGTCAGCCTTACATATGTGGGGATTCAGGTGCAGTTTGCGTTGGGTATACATGCATGTGTGTGTGTGTGTGTGTGTGTGTTTGTATCTACATCTACATCTATACGCGCAAAGAATCTGTGCAAAGACATTAGTGTGTCTGTTGTTGGGGTCAAGATTCAACGTCTTCACGGCTGGTTTATGGCGCTCTATATATGGCAATGTGCCATAACTATGCTCAAGTCCTACCAGGAGGTTCCAGCTCACAGTGGATCAGAAGCCTGTCCTCGTTCGAAGCCATGTGCCCGGCGAGCTCTTTGCTGGTGCTTCTATCTAGCCTTGTGGTTTTTCCCTTCAGCAAGGTTCGTAAGTGCACCAGTGCACGTAACGGGATGGTATGGTGGCAGACGCGATTCGTCGCAGGGTTGGGCCTTGACCTGCCTTCACGGCTCCCTCGAATGCCAGGACATCTGCTGTGACTCGGAGAAAAGCCGCTGCACAGACTTCGGGAGCCATTTCAAAGATGCGGAGTATGCAGCGACTTCTGAAGGAGGAGGATGTGGCGTCAAGGATGATGTCACTCGACGCCGGGAGTGTTGTGAATGTGTCTCGTCTGACCCTCCTCCGCCTCCTCCTGTGATGCCGAATGCCAGTGCCTGCTCTTCCGAGTGCGACCCTTTTGTTGTGGCCAACCTCAACTGTCCTGCGGGCTATGAGCTGTCAGCGCCGTTGTTGCTATGCTACGGTTGCAATGAGGCAGAAGGCTATGCTCTCCGTGTGGAGCACCACGTTACGAGTGGCTGGGAACATGACTGCCCGCAAGACGAAATGGGACTGTGGTCGCCAAGCGAAAAGTTTCCCTTAATTAAGGAATATAGCTTAAATCATAATAGTAACCCCCTTATGGTTTGGGGTTCCGGCCCCAAACCCAAAGCCCGAAACCCTCACTTCTGAGCCCCGCATTTCTTGGATTCTCAGGTTGTGGGGACGTGAATGTCATACGTGCGTGCCAAGTGGAACAGCCACAGCGAGCACCACCACCACCACCACGTACTTTCCCTCGTATTGGAGCGTCGGTGTCGCGGACTCTTGTGCCCCACCCACCACCTCAACTCCGGATCCTCGAGGAGATCGACGATGGGAATCTTGGTTCTTGTTAAAAGGAATTGATCTGAAGTTGCCATAATATGGATTTACTATACATACGGACACGTTTGTGTTTACAATAGATATTTATCACGGTATAAATCAAAAACCCTAAACCCTTAACCCTAAAGCCCTGAAGCCCTTAACCCTTAACCCCGAAGCCTTTAACCCTAAAGCCCTAAGCCCATAACGCTTAACCCTAAAGCCCTTAACAAGAGCCCAGGAGTTGGTGGGAGCTGCAAACGGCAGCGCCTGTCGCGGCAGCAGCCTGGACGACAACTCTCCGAGCCACTACGAAGATCCTCCAGCCGCATTCGTATTAGTATTCATACTAGTGGTCATAAATACGAGTGTTAGTATTACTATTCATACTACTAGTAATAATCATGGTAATACTAATACTAGTATTAGTGTTACTATTAGTATCAATATGAATATAGATGTTGATACAAGTATTAAGGGGGTTGGAGAGTTCTTTTTCGGGTTCCATCCTTTCAAGAGGGCATGGCCCCACTGAGGTTTAGCTGAAGCCAACTTAACCATGTTTTCTTTGCTCGCCTCCTCGGCTCTTTCCAGGTGGTGACGGCAAAAGACATCGAGGAGTGCAAAACACGATGCTGGGAGCAATTCCCGAGTTGCAAAGGCATAGAGTACAGCACTGGCCGTTGCGAGCTCTGGACACGACCAGGGGGGATTTTCATGACGAGGAATCTCAGTGGCTTCACCTGCATGCGCTATGGATGGGCCGGAGCCTTCCACCTGCAGAAGGAGTACAGCAATAACCGCTACCTGTCATACGCATGTCGTGGAAACGATCCGGCTGACACTGATCCAAGTTACTATACAGTGGTATCCACAACACTTATTCAGGATTGTCGAGCCAGGTGTGGATGCTTCCAAACAAGGCTTCCCTAACCCAGAACACTTAAGTTAAAGGCTTAAGCCGCCTGGACCCAAAATCGTGTTTGCAGCTGGAGTGATCCCAAGTTGATGTTAAGACGGACTCCCACTAGAGATCCGTCAAGATGGTTACTTGTCAAAAGACAGCGGACCGCTGTATAGACTCCAAGTAGCAGGAGCCTTATTGCAAGGATCCGGACCCCTCCGCCACACATTCCGACATACTTCAAGAAGGATCCCCAGAACAACAGTACACCCTTCACAGGTGCGTCGCAGCACCCGTCTGTCGCGGCTTCGAGTTCACAAAGGGCCGATGCGAGATCTGGAATCGCAGGATCAACGATGTCTCTCGGAGGCCCTACTCCCCGACACACCCAGAGCGCCTTGGTTGTCTCTCCTTGACCTTATCGATTGCCAAACATATCTAAACCCTATAATACTATACCCCAAATCCTAAACCCTAAACCCCTAAACCCTAAACCCTAAACCCCTAAACCCCTAAACCCTAAACCCTAAACCCCTAAACCCCTAAACCCTAAACCCCTAAGCCCTAAACCCCTGAACCCTAAACCCTAAACCCTTGTAGCAGGAGGCGCAGAAGGAACCCTAAACCTGAAACATCCTGAAACCTTCGGGTCGAAACCCTAAAGCCTCGATCTTGGGGTTCCTTTAAAGGGATCTATAAGGGTACCTTTAGGGGTTCCTTTAAAGAGATCTATATATAGGAGCTTTAGGGTTTAGGGTTTAGGGTTTAGGGTTGATGATCTAAATCCTGGGCATCACCTTAAAGGGCCCTAAACTATGGGAATTATAGTATATTCCTTATTATGGGTCATGCAGGATTTATATCATCAACCGTATGCCTGAGCCAAGGTACTTCTGCTTCAGCTATTCGGCCGGCCTGCGAGAGAAGGACCACACGGGATCGCAAGTATCCGAAGCACCGGATTTCTTGAAAATCCCTGGTTTAGGATTTGGGGTTTAGGCTTCAAGGTTTGGGGTTGGCTTGAGGCTTTAGAGTTTAGGGTTTAGCGTTCAGGCTTCGGGGTTTAGAGTTTAGGAATATTCTGAAAACCCCAGTGTGTCCAGAGGCTAAGAAGAGAATCACCTCAAGTAGCCAAGGATGGCATGGCAGACCAACTTAGAGGCAACCGAGATCGGGACCACCATTTTGGGGTTATGGTAGTGCGTCATGAGACCCTAGCCGCTAGCCAAGGGCTCATCTACGAAACAAAGCAACTCCCAAAGCCGAAAACCCTGAATCTTGAAGCCCCTATAGCTCCGGAAGCCTAAACAGCCCTAAGTTTAAGTCCTAAAGTTTCCAGAACTCCCAAAAGCCTTAAGGTCTAAGTTTTAAAGCCCAGAGCCCTATCAACCCGAAGTCTTGGAGCCCCAAGGACTCCACAGCCCATTGGCCTCCATTTTTAAGGCCCTGAACCCTAGCTCCCAACGCCTAAAGCCGAAAGATCTTAAAGCCCTAAACCCTAAACCCTATCCCTTAGGGGTAGTATTCGGAAAAGCCTTAAACAATAAAGCCCTAAATCCCTAAACCCTATCACTTGGGGTCGGTATTGGTGCCCCTAAACCCCAAACCCTTAAACCCCTAAAACCCTAAAAACCCTAAGCCCTTAAACCCCTAAAGCCCTAAAAGCCCTGAACCCGAAACCCTCAACCCTAAAACCCTGAAACCCTAAAGCCCTAAAGCCCTAAAGCCCTAAATTTAGTAATTCCCGCGCGAGGACCTCATCGGAGATCGAGCTTGGGAAACCCTGGGCTCTCCAGGCCAGGCCTCTTTTTTTGCGGGTTTAGGGGTTTAGGGGTTTAGGGGTTTAGGGGTTTAGGGGTTTAGGGGTTTAGGGGTTTAGGGGTTTAGGGGTTTGGGGGTTTAGGGGTTTAGGGTGATGTGTTTAATGAAGGGTCTAGTCTAGGATTTATATAGGATTTTCATGAAAGGACTTAGGGTTTGGATTTGGGGTTCAGGTTTCCGGAACGAAAAGGCTAAGGTCATACAAGGGCTCCTTCAATGGGTTCCTACACCTGCTCTAAAGGATTCCTAAAGGGGCTTAAATGACTGCCAATACTCTTTTGGGAGTTCCTGATTATAAGTATACTCTAAAGGAGCACAAAACCCGATTCACATATTTAAAGCCCTAACATCATTGTCCGGAAAAGAAGAGCTCTGTTCAAGGCAATTCGGCCTGTCGAGGGGACAGTGATACCGACAGTGCCCCGGGCCACTACACGGCAGCTCGGTTTAAGGTTTACAGCAGGGTTTAGTTCGGGCTCCGAATTCACGGATGTGGGGCTTGGGATTTGGGGTGGCTTTTGGTGCTTGGGGTTCGGGAAGGATGCTCAGTGTGAGTGCTGGTTTGAGCTTGCAGTGCGCAAATTTCGGGTAGTCGCTGTGTTCCTCCAGAGCTCCGAACAGGTGGAGTTCTGATTTGGGGGTTTCCGAAGATAGAGGTACCTTATTTTGGTATCCTTACAATAAGGACCGCACTGTTTAGGGTACTATATTAGTGTCCCCTATTTTTCGGAAACTCCCATTTATTCCTCGCGAACCTTAAGACCCTAGCCAAATGGTTCCACCCTGAGAAGCTTCGGATGGGGACTCCGCCCAGTCATGGCGCCCCTGACTTTGAATTTTGAAGAGCATGCAATTTGAGGGGGCAAGGGTCGGGTTTCTGGTTCAAGGGAGTAGGGTTTTAGTCTTTTTGGAGCTTTGCCTCCAAATCCTAATATAACGGAAGACTTGAAGGCTAGCAGAGCTTGAGCAGAAGACCTAAAGAAAGGGGCCGAAAGAAATACCAATTCCTATTTTGGGGGTTCCTTATTATAAATGTACATAGTATAATGGGCCCCAAAACCCTATTGAAGAACTATTCAGGCCCCTATATTACTCAGGTGGTACAGTCGTGGAGCTTGGAAGACTGCCAAGCTTGGTGCGTGAAGGAGTTCCCTCGTTGTCGAGGCCCCACCTACCAGGGTTTAGGTGTTAGGGTTTTAGGGTTTAGGGCTTCAGGGTTAACAGGGTTTGGGGTTCAGGATGGGTTTTTGGGCTTTCAGGTAAGTGTGAGCTGGGTCAGGTGCTTCGCCGCAACTTGTAACCCTAAACCGACCAAGCGCAGCAGGTCTCACTCTCTCGTGCTTTCAGCGCCCATAAGCACCATCACGCGTCACGCCCCGGCAACTGCTTCGATTACGATGCTTCAGGGAACAGGGCCGTCCTGAAAGAAATGCATGACATGGCTTCAGAGGAGAACCAAATGCAGCCACCTTGAACCGGAAATCCTGAATCCTACACTGAAAAGTAAAGGAGTGTCCCCGATTCGTAAACGCGGCGTGAACCTTAAGCCTTGAACCCTAAGCCCCAAGCCCTAAAGGCCAAGCCCTAAAACCCCCAAAACCCTGAAGCCCAAGCCCTCATCCTTGAGCCCCTCAACTGCCCTCAAACCTTCGACCTGAACACTCCTAACATGCCTTTGCTTGACGGACGACTTGTAACTGCCAGTTTCGTTACAACCTGTCACACACCTCCTCGACCTGCTCCTGAGGTTGGCTGTTCCATACCAGGATGCTTTTGCTGAAAGCATAAGCCATCAAGCCCAAAACCCTAAACTCCGCAAGAAGAACACTTCGTGCGGACCCCAAAACTTAGGGGTACTTAGAAATATTTCTCAGTTTTTGGTTATTATAACCCCTAAGAAACAGCTAAAATCACAATTTTTGCTGGGGTTCTAAGTTCAGTATAGAGGTTAGATGCCCTAAACCCTTATAGTAGCCCTGACAGTAACCCTTCTAGACCCCTTTAAGGGAACCCCTATAGAAAAGGAGCCCTTTAAAGAAAAAAGTTTACCCATAGGCTCCAAAGTAGTGCCTTTTTGGGAGTACCTTATAGGATTCTATATATGAACCCCAAAAAGGAACTACTTTGGGGCCTTAGGGTAAATGCAGTTTCGGCCCCGGGGCTGCAGAGGCGTTGAATACAGCGCGGGCCGCTGTGAGCTCTGGACCAGGTAGGACGGTGATCCAAAAAAAGGGTGGTTGTCAAAATTATGGTCCCTTTTTGGGTACCTTAAATATTAAATTCCTAAACCCTCCCAAACCCTAAGCCCTAAACCCCAAAGCTTTACAAACCCCTAGGTGCCGTATTATATTAAGGACCCAAAAAGGGACCGTAATGAGTTCAGGATGTTCAGGGTTGGGGTTTTGGGGTTTCGGGTTGTGGGGTTCAGGGTAGGGTTTGGGGTTTAGGGTTTCGGGGTTTAGGGTTTCTGCTTTTGGGGACCCCCTAATTACGGAGTATTCCGTAAATCGTTTTACGGATCCCTCTACAATTTCAAGGCCCACTCCTTCATTAAAAGGGGGTTCCAGAGTCTTTGGGTGCAGGGACCATTTCGGGGGTTCGAGTAATGTAGGGGCCTTAATAATTAGAATCAGGTTTCGGGGCCCGTTATGCTATAAATATACTAAGGAACCACCAAAAATGGTATTCGTATTCTCTAAGGCCGCTATATTCTCTTTTGCTCTGATTGGGTGGTTGTCAAAATTGGGGTCCCTGTTTGGGTCCTTATTATAATACGGCACCTTATATGTAGGGTACCCAAAAAGGGACCTTAGTTTTGACAACCACCCAATTGTCGTGTAGCACACACTTGTTTGTGCGAAGTGACAACTCATTATCTCACCTAAACACCGAATCGGTCAGGGGATTGACTCACCGATTCAATTCGATTGATTGCATACTCCGTGGCCATTTTGGCTCAAGCTGTTACAGCTTGAGCAAATTTTGTTTCAGTCCCCTCGGATCACTCCTCGGTCATAGCCGCTCTTGGCGGCCAGTACTTCGAGTTCTACTACGACCGCTGCTGGCGGCCAGTACTTCGAGCACTACGGCTTCTCTGTCAGTTGTCGACAGTCTGAAGGAATCGCTCGAAGAATTTAGCCGCGAACAAGTTCTCGAAGACTTTCAGATCGAGAAACCCGAGGATGTGACTTGGGGAGCCTGGAACAAGAGACAGTCACGACAAATACGAAAGGCCATCGATCAGATCTCCCAGTGTCGGACTGGAGACGACATCGTGAACCTGGCGGCGACCTTGCTGAAGCCGCCCAACCTCGAGGCCTTCCTGTATCTGCACATTACTAACCGCGACGACTCCGAGGAGCCGCTGACGGTTCCCTTCGAGGTCGTCCAGTCTTCCCTACATCCCGATTCTGATCATGTACCCCTCCCCACAGACGTCGATGCTGCTCTTCTTGCACATGAGACCGAACTGCATAATCAGCATTTGGCAGACATTTTTCGTGATGATTTCGGCATGGAATTACATAATCCCGAACCCGCGGCATCTGCAGCTCGAAAACGGAACTTCGAAGGGCGTCTTAAGCCCTCTACCTCGACTTCCATCGATTTGGATTAGCTACCTCGTAGCCATGGCACAACCACGATCTGACTCCTGGTTCGAATTTCTCTGCGAAGGTTCGACTGTGAATATCACTGCCCCTGTGCCGGACACTATGCTACACGAGTTCCCCATACAGGTCCGCGATGAAGCCCGAGCACCTGTCTCCGGAATACGACGACAGATCTGCCCCCGAATCCTCGAGTCTAAGAACTGCAACATGATGAACTGCGTTCATCTTCACCCCGATTTCCTTAACAAGGTCTGGGTGGTCCGTTCTACGTCACAAGATGCCTGGCACAGATGGGAACAAGACAATCGACGATACCCGGTATGGCAGTACGAGGACCAGTTCCTCGTTACGTTGCCCGACGGATCGTGGACTACAGCTCCCTCGTCCTTACGCGAACAACTACAAGGCCTACCTCTGGATTACACAGCAGAGCTCGGAATTGGCGACGAGACGAAACGTTGCACGGCTCTGGGCAGCGCGTGGCATCTCCCCACGGCGATCTGGATCATCTTCTTGCTCCTGTTGGGAACTGTCGACGCATCCATACCCGATACACCCCGAGTATCCCCATTACAACAGATTACTTCCTTATGGCTACACCACAAGGTGCCATTTGGCCCACCGCCTCGAGCCCCAAACCACGACTACATGCCACAATTCTCCTGGACCGAGCACCTCGACTGGGCCTTACATAGGGATACACACTTGTCACCGAAAACACTCGACCCCACGCTCGAGTGGTGCCTACAACATCGACACGTGTTCCATCCACTCATGGAGTTTCAGAAGGCCGTCATCGAGGACATCAGGGAGCTCGTCGACGACATGGAGGAACACACGATGGCATGGTTCAACACCCTCCCAGAACACGTACAACGAGCATATCGACACAAAGACTCGGTCACACAAATACCTGTCCTCGCTCACCTACTCCGGATGATACAATATCCACAAACCGAGCTGATCTACCGCGAACTCTCCGAAGGTTTCCCCCTCATGGGGAAGTTGACCCCTGGGATAAACTGGCACGTGAGACAGGACCAGAAGTACCTCGAACCAACGCCCATCGACGAGTTCAGCGAGAAAAACCGACAGTATATCACAGACAAGATCGACAAGAACTCCATCGACGAATGCTGGGAACTTATGCTGGACGAAATCTTGGCGGAAGTCGATATGGGAAGAATGAACGGACCGTTTCAGGCTCCGGAGTGGTGGCCTCGAGCCGCAACAGTCCCACACAAAGGACGACATCGCACCCTACTACCGCTGCCTCACTCCGACCCGTACATCGCCATGGCATTCAGCATCGAACAAACAGGCAGCGACGGCAGCAACAAGGTCAGACGCGGCGAAGACTGGCGCCGAAGCGGACACAACGCGACATGCACGATGCATGACCAGCCATACCATCACACACCCGATCACTTTATTTCCCCGCGACAATCCGACACGACCACCTCAAGCCTCTCTCCGTTTGGGGACACGACCATGATGGAGCGTACCGACAACTACCACTCCGAGATCCTCGAGAAGCCTATGTGATGCTACTGACCCCGGATGGCCCGACACTGTGGAGCCACAACGTCCTCCTCTTCGGCTCGGCCGCAAGCGTCTGGTCGTATAACCGATTCGGCGACATTTTGGTCGCCTGCAGCCGCACTATGATCCTGTCCCCAGCGATGCACTACGTCGACGACTATGGCTCCATGGAGGACTCCGACTTAGCCAAGGGCAGCTTTGAGTCGTTCGAGGAGTACAACGATGTTTACAAATCTCGATGAAACCCAGCAAACGACAACCACCTCAAACAGCACATCGAATCCAAGGTGTCATCATTTCCTCCGACAACAACGACCTGGTCCTCACTCCTTGTCCAAAACGAGTTACAAACATGTGCAAGCAGATCGGCACGCACTTGACAACTTCGTCATTGTCCCCCGAACAAGCCAGGAAGATGGCTGGGAAGTGCAACTTCCTCACTGGGCGATTGTTTGGGAAAGTGGGCCGAGCAGCTTTGAAAGCACTGTATGCTCGCGCCCACTCCCACTCACATGCGCTCGACAAACCCACACGATCATCGCTACTTGCCCTGAAGGACATCATACAACATTGTCGCCCGATGATGATACCACATACACTGACCCGACCGAATTACAGCGTCATCTACACGGACGCCTACTTCCGACTCGGCTCCAACATTTACAAGCCGGGGGACAACGACATCCCAAGTTGGGACTCGAAATCAACATCCGACATCGAAAACGGATGGGCGGCAGTTTGCTTCCACCACGGTGACGTGCAAACCGCCGCTTACTTCCAGGGTCGTCTTCCTTCACTACTCGTACGACAGTTCTCCTCCGACCAGGCGTTCATCTACCTCCTCGAAGCTTGGGTAGCCATCCTGGCACCATTGGTCTTCGAACCGTGGCTCGACCACTTCTACGTCCAATGCTGCGACAATGAGGCTTCCCGACACGCCCTACTCAAGGGTGTCGGCAAACATCAACCTCTCAACTGCCTCACTGCGGCACATTGGACTTGGCACAATCGACGAAGCCTTGCACACCGACTCGAACGTGTTCCTACCAAGGCCAACATCTCCGACGGGATCAGCCGTTTTGAGCACGTTCCAGAGTCTGAGTCATGGACTAAACTCGGTTTACCTCTAAACGCACTGACGAGTAGGGCTGCGAAGATCATAGGAGACATTCACTTCGCTTCCTCTACGGGTTTTTCCGACATACCCGAAATTCACAGATTGCACGACCTATTGACCTCGATGCTAGCTTAATGTGCTTTTCGAGTGGCGTTCGCCTGCGATGGGAGGACGCGACCACCCTCGATGGGAACCAGTCGGTCCTCCCAGCAGAAGGAACTTAGATACTTCCTGTTCGGAAGATCTACACCGATCTGTAAGATCGACTACTTCGATCTGTAAGATCGAAGCGCAGACATAACGCCACCGAAGCGGAAGCAGGTGGAAAACAGCTCCGCTTCAGCCAGGGATTCATGGCTTCCGTGTGAGATTTCCGTTGTCTTGAGGAGCCTGAAAGGAGCACTGTTCTAGTTATCCAGGCCCTTAAAATTAAGAACGTTTTTCTATTCCCCGGCACAGCACCCACAATTCCTTGCAACAGGGTTCCACAGCGGTTTTAGGAGGCTTTCGGGTCTAGAAAGATGTTGGTTCAATTCTTTGAGTTTTTTCGGACTGCTACTGTAGTCGTGTATAGCTGTGCCACCTAGACCAAACCGTACTCCTATTCACAGCCCGAGCTACCATGTTAAACTCCCGGGCGACTCTCCAACCTTGGTGGCTGTCTATATGGGGGTTTCCGAAAATACGGGACCCTAACATCAAGCCCGAACATAGTACCCTACATAGTAGGATACTCATTATAAGGACCCCCCCCCAAAAAAAAATTAGGTATCCCTAATTTTGGTAAAGTCCCATATACAGTGTTCGCTTCTGGAGCCCGAAACCCCTGTGCTCAAAGCCCTGGCAAGGCCGGAGGGGATCTTTCTCACCAAGAGTGTCAGTGGCTTCACTTGCATGCGCTTCGGATGGGTGGGGAGCTTTCAGTTGATGGGTGGCGGCGACCGAGCCTGCCGTGGCTACCATCCCGGCGACAACTCCGACAGCAACTATGTTGTGCACTGGCGAATCTCGTTCGAGGAATGCAAAGCAAGGTGGGGATGATATCTTACACCCTATGTATAAGCCCTACACTACGAGACCCCAGACCCTCCGGCTTCTTTTGGGATTCGCACTTCGAAACGCCCCCTTTGAGGTGCGTCGCATCTCGGCCTATTTGTACTGGCTTCGAGTTCACAACTGGCCGGTGCGAGGTGCAGGGTTCAGGGTCTTGGGGTCTTAGGGCTTTAGGGCTCCAGGGTTTAGGACTTTAGGGGTTTAGGGTTTAGGGTTTAGGGACTTTAGGGGTTTAGGGTGTGAGGGCATTTCGGATTCACGGGTTTAGCGGTTAGGGCTTGGTAGAAAAGGTCCACTGAAGGCTGTGTTTAGAGGGTGGTTGTAAGAGGCTTCAGGCGACGGTTCTTAAAGACAAAGGTCCCTTCTGGACGGAGCCTTACAATAAGGGTGATGTACACTTTAAACTTAGGTTTCGAATTCGATCCCTCACTTTCCGATGCCCTCAGGTTTGGACCAAGTCGATCGAAGCCGTTTCTTCGGGAGTTTTGCCCGGATATAGCTGCTTCAAGCGCGTGCAGACGCTCCCACCCTTGCTGTTGTAAGCCTTGTGGCATTCTGGAACCTCTATAGGACCGCTTTAGCGGAACCCTTTTTAAGGAGCATTTATGATGGACGACGCTCCACATGCGACGTCGATCTTCGCTTCATGGACGTATAGTTTGGGTCAATCCCTCTCGAAGCAACAGTTCTTTGGTAAGGAAAGACTGGGGCCTGAAAGGAAAGACTAGGGCCTTGATGTACGTGCACTGGTCGCTTGGAGGATTTACCTAACGTGCAATGTTCTTTGGTTTGCTGGGTGGCGAGGCGTTTTAGCCCGAACCATGCCTCCTGGCCAATTCATTGCTCAGTTAGCTGAGCTTCAATCAAACTGACATGTGAGTTTCCGAGAACATGGAGGGATAATTCTCTATACTATTTTGGGGGCTCCTGAGTATAATTATGGTTTTCCCCCAAAACCCTATGGGCCAGTGTTGATACGTCATCTACTAGAGTAGTCTACGGTAGTTTGCTTGCTGCGTCTTTCTTGGAGACTCTGGGATGCACCCCGATTTCTCGGAAACCTTCCATCTACTGTGCATGCACTAGTTAACTGCCAAGGGCAGCGAGTCGTTATGAACTGCGTGCTCGATCTGGCGAATTAAGCTGGGTGGCCCCGATGAAGAGGGTCCTTCCGGCAAGCTCATCTCATACTGTAGGCACCCTTGGGGGAGGCGGGGGTTGGGGGGGCCTTAATGCCCATAATAAGAACCTCATAGGGCCTATTTAAGGAAGTATAGTCCAGTCCCCTACGCCCCCTCCCCTTTACCCCCCTAAGGGTCCCTATGATCATCTGTCACGTCGTTCTGACTTCCTACCTGCACACTTGGCAGGGGGTCAGAGCTGGCAGAGATTCAGTGCACTCGCAAACCAAGACCCTCCATCTGCCCTCTGTTTTAGTCTATCTTTCCCCTCTCTCTATATATTTATATATGTGTATGTATGTATACAGATACATATATATATATATATATATGTATATATATATATATATAATATGTATATATATATATATATATATATATATACACACACATATGATTTAATATGTATCTATGGCATATGGCCGAACCTACTATTGGGGGCCATATGCCCTTGTTTCAAGGTAGAAGGAGGATCCTTGAATACAGTAATTCAGTTCCTTCACGGGTGGGGTGGTGCGCTACCGGCGTCTTACAGGCCGCGCCACCCAGCCGGTGAGGCTGCGCCCCCGCGTTGCATCCTGCCCGCTTTCGGGTTAGGGGTGACTCGTTTTACAAGGCCGGCAGAGTGATTGAACTTGCCTTGAGGATGGGGGTCTTGCTGATCTGTGCTTGAAACGACAAAGAGCACGGTCCACGGATGACACTGGCAGCGAGTAGGTTTCGTCTTACTGGCAGTGCAGCATCGTTGCAGTTATGACTTGGATGATGGTCACTCTTTCGTCTCAAGTTGGGATTCGGATACCTTCCTTTGGGGTCCTTACAACAAGGATCCTACTATATAGGGTACTATAGTAGGGTCCCCGCATTTTCGGAAACTCCCATTTCGGGATCCCTTCTTCCACTGGTACAAGATTCATTATGGTGAGAATTGTTTCTGTTGTTGCGAAGGTCAGTTTTCATTCGTGTCTGCTGTCTGCAGTAAACTCCATACCCGTAATCGCGGGTGTCTGATATGGGGGTCTGAATCGCTGTATATCGTTCGTCTATGTCAAAGCCATAGTAGCACCCTCGAATCACGCGGTTTAAATGGCGCAGTATCCTGGCCAGAAGCGACTTCTGGTGTCCAGCCAGAAGCCCAAAAACCCTCAACCCTAAATCCAACATGAGTACTTCGAGGTTCTTAGGTGGTTATAAGTGGGGTTATAAGCAGGGTAACTATACTTTTGACCCATAGTAGGGGACTTGTAACCCCCCTTTCAAGTACCCCTGAACCTGCAAGTAGGGGCTTTAAGGGCCAGGGTCCCGGATTTTCTGAAACTCCCGCACGAGATCCGAAGGTAAGAGGACCAGGCTTTCGTGGGCCTCAGACGTTCCCTGAACCAGATGCATAGGCATACGCGATCCAAAACCTTAGTCTCTTGGCTATCGGACCTCGGCCACAACACCTCGAGGTCTTTACTGTTACGAAAGCGAAGAGAAATTATAGAATCATAGAAGGATGTTGGCACAAGTGGTTGTTACTGTACCCAGCCTAAGCAAGAATTGAAAAGCCTGCGCTTGACAAGTCGAAGCGAGAAAGCAGCTTATGGGCTTGTAGTTGTCTTGGATCAGCCACGTTCAGCACCTGTAGAGTCCGTGATCAGAAGACCCTCTTGCATTGTCGGGCCTAGATATTCGGACTCCAGTTCTACACAATCGCGCTCCTCCCCCCGAGCTCTCCAAAAACGCATGTCCAGCCCTAAAATCTCGACCGTCTTGGCAGCCCTAAGGCCCGGAACCCCCAAATCCCCGATTACATCATTCAATCGGAACCCGACAAATTCGTATATTCTCTAGATTCTTTTTTGCTTCCAAGGCCTACAATCATGCCATCTTGGGTAAAGCCCTAAACCCGAAACCCTAAACCCCAAATCCGAAACCCCAAACCCTAAACCCAAAACCCCAAAACCCTAAACCCTAAACCCCAAAAACCCTAAACACCAAAACCCCAAAATCCTAAACCCAAAATCCCAAAACCCCAAAACCTCAAAACCCTAAACTCTAAACCCCCAAACCCCGAAACCCGAAACCCTAAACCCCAAAACCCTAAACCCTAAACCCCAAAACCCCAAAATCCCCAAACCCTAAACCCCAAAACCCCGAAACCCCAAAACCCCAAACCCCAAAACCCTAAACCCCAAAACCCCAAAACCCGAAACACTAAACCCCAAAACCCTAAACTCTAAACCCCAACCAAAACCCCGAAACCCGAAACCCTAAGCCCCAAAACCCTAAACCCTAAACCCCAAAACCCCAAAACCTTAAACCCTAAACCCCAAACCCCCAAACCCTAAAACCCTAAGCCCACAACCCCAAAACCCCAAAACCCTAAACCCTAAACCCCCACACCCCAAAACCCTAAACCCTAAACCCGAAACCCTAAACTCTAAACCCCAAAACCCCGAAACCCGAAACCCTAACCCCCAAAACCCTAAACCCTAAACCCCAAAACCCCAAAATCCCAAAACCCTAAACCCCAAAACCCCGAAACCCCAAAACCCCAAACCCCAAAACCCTAAACCCCAAAACCCCAAAACCCGAAACACTAAACCTCAAAACCCTAAACTCTAAACCCCAACCAAAACCCCGAAACCCGAAACCCTAAACCCCAAAACCCTAATCTCTAAACCTTCAACCCCAAAACCCCAAAATCCCAAAACCCTAAACCCCAAAACCCCGAAACCCTAAAACCCTAAACCCAAAACCGCATCACCCCAAAACCCTACACCCTAAACCCCCACACCCCAAAACCCTAAACCCAAAACCCTAAACTCTAAACCCCCAAACCCCGAAACCCTAAACCCCAAAACCCTAAACCCAAAACCCCAAAACCCCAAAATCCCAAAACCCTAAACCCCAAAACCCCGAAACCCCAAAACCCCAAACCCCAAAACCCTAAACCCCAAAACCCCAAAACCCGAAACACTAAACCCCAAAACCCTAAACTCTAAACCCCAACCAAGACCCCGAAACCCGAAACCCTAAACCCCAAAACCCTAAACTCTAAACCCTCAACCCCAAAACCCCAAAATCCCAAAACCCTAAACCCCAAAACCCCGAAACCCTAAAACCCTACACCCGAAACCTCATCACCCCAAAACCCTAAACCCTAAACCCCCACACCCCAAAACCCTAAACCCTAAACCCAAAACCCTAAACTCTAAACCCCAAAACCCCGAAGCCCGAAACCCTAAACCCCAAAACCCTAAACCCTAAACCCCAAAACCCCAAAATCCCAAAACCCTAAACCCCAAAACCCGGAAACCCCAAAACCCCAAACCCCAAAACCCTAAACCCCAAAACACCAAAACCCGAAGCACTAAACCCCAAAACCCTAAACTCTAAACCCCAACCAAAACCCCGAAACCCGAAACCCTAAACCCCAAAACCCTAAACTCTAAACCCAAAACCCCAAAATCCCAAAACCCTAAAACCCAAAACCCCGAAACCCTAAAACCCTAAACCCAAAACCCCATCACCCCACAACCCTAAACCCTAAACCCCCACACCCCAACACCCCAAAACCCTAAACCCAAAGCCCCAAACCCAAAACCCCAAAACCCAGGAACCCGAAACCCTAAACCCCAAAACCCTAAACCCTAAACCCCAAAACCCCAAAGTCCCAAAACCCTAAACCCCAAAACCCCGAAACCCCAAAACCCTAAACCCCAAAAACCCAAAACCCGAAACACTAAACCCCAAAACCCTAAACTCTAAACCCCAACCAAGACCCCGAAACCCGAAACCCTAAACCCCAAAACCCTAAACTCTAAACCCTAAACCCCAAAACCCCAAAATCCCAAAACCCTAAACCCCAAAACCCCGAAACCCTAAAACCCTAGACCCAAAACCCCAAAAACCCAAAACACTAAACCCCCACACCCCAAAACCCTAAACCCTAAACCCAAAGCCCTAAACTCTAAACTCTAAACCCCAAAAACCCAAAACTCTAGAGACCTCTCAGGCCGTGGCCGGAAAACTCATCGGAAGCTCCGGCCGGGAGCTGAACGGGCGACGACGGGGACCTGAGTATCTGCTACGGGCTATAATCTGAGGGGTACTTAGACATACTGTTTAATTTTTGGTTACTATAATCCCTAAGAAACAGCTAAAATTATGAGTTTTGCTAGGGTTCTAAGCTCAGTATAGTATAGTATAATGGTATTCCTGCCGTTATCCGTTCAGGGTGTTTAGGGTTTAGGGTCGGATGCAGATATTGTACATCAAAGGCCCCGACCCCAGAAACCTATTCTAGTTAGTCTCTTAGGCTCCCGCTTGCGAGATCGTTGGATTTCGTAAGCCAGGTGCCCTAAAGCCAGTAG